CTCTGTACTCTATCTTGAAAAATAATAAGGATTGTATTGTTACTATATTTTTTCAGACAGCTTTTTTGTTAATGGCTTCTTACTGCCTCTGTTAGCGGATGGATACTATGAAGAACCTGTCAGACTGGCAACTACCAGTCAGAAGGTTATTTTATGGATTGGCAAGGATTTTGTATTGCCAGATATGCCTGAAGTATTTCAGAAAAATGTATTTTTCTAACTTTTTTTCTCAACATAAAAATTCAGTGTTTTCATGAATTTATAATGCTTCTAATATTCCACTGTCTTCACAAAATTAATAAATTTACTGCTACAAGATACTGTGTAGCTTAATCAGCTACACTGTGATCTCCCTATGAAGTAAAAAAGCAATTGTATGTTGTGACAAGCTATCTTTTATTTCTGTGATTTTTTTCTGCTGATTAGCTAAGTAATTTGTGGTGCATGTCTCAGTCAAATTAGTAAGGTATTCAAGGTAATAAATGTTCAGTTAGAGCACAATTTTAAAAATTAGGAAATATCGTGGCACTTATTTTTCCTTTAAATAGTTTATTTTAATAAAGAGAACACATTCTGATAACAGTTCCTTGTTCATTTTTTGTTTTCACACTTCAGTGGTTGAGAGAGCGAATTGTAAATTCAGTTAAGCTGGGAAATTTGTCTAATATGATAGCAAAAGAATTCAGGTTCACTGTTTCTTATCAATTTGATAAAGACAAAAACTTTTTGTAAGATACTTGCAATTATCAATCCTGCAGTCTCTGGCTATGACTTGGGTTGCTTTTGTGGTTTTTTTCTTCCCTTTTTCATGTATCCATATGGATATTAAAAATCCTGACTACCTAGTTAGTACACAGTTACCCTGAAATCAAGTACTGGGCTGTTAACTATTTTTGTATTACACACGGCCTGTTAGGTTGTACCTGGGCTTAAATCTTAATATGATTTAGGGTAAATGGAAAATTTGAAAGTAAGTTGTAATTATTGTGGAACATTGTGGAACTCCCGGTGTTCATTTCACAAGCCCCTTTGGCTGTTAATGATGATTCTGAAATTAGGAGGAACTGTCATTTTGATGCATAAATAAATGCATATTGCAACAGAAGCAATATAATTTAACTCTAGTAGTTCCGACGCAGAGATTAGGAGTCCTTTTATTTGAGAGTAGGTGATGGGCAGATCTTCATGCTACCTATGCTTGGGGCAGACACTCGTCTGCTATTAGATGTGCATATGCCATTCAAGCATTCAGGCATTTGTCACGTCTAGGTTGGACTGCTGCAATGCTGTATGGGGCTATGTCTTGCTGCATTTTTATAAAAATATTTGTTGCTGTTGTTACTACTAGCTTCTGAGTCAAATAATGGAATATTTCTTTCAGTAACTTGGTGTTTTGAAGAGCTTGTTAGGAAACACTGAACAAGATTGTTCATGTTATGGAGCAAAAGGCATCTCTGACAGTGACTACTCTCGCTTGCCTTTTCTCTTTGCTCCAAGCATATGCATGCATCTAGCACTCGTGTTGAAATATGTTTCTGACAAATCTTGGGAGAACTCAATGCCATTTCTTACACAGGGTACAGTATAAAATTTTAGTTGGTAAAAAGAATTTTCTGACTGAGTCACAGAGAAGACAGAGGTACTGTAGGGAATATGGAAGAAAGTTTCAGCTATGGGACAAACCAGAAACCTCAGATATCTGGCCTTTTCTTACATTTACCATGAAAAGTACTATCTAGTAAGGATGCTGGAACCTCATTAAATGAGTGAGGTATGGTCCCAGGAGTATGTAGCGCTCTGCTTTTAGAGTTATGTCAGCTTCCTGCAAGGTGCTGTTCAGCATGCAGAGTACTAGTTATGAATCTAAAACCTCTGTATGGGAAGGTATTAATTCATATGAAAGACTTTTTCCTCGGGGCATAGTAAAATTCAATGAAAGAACGCAAGCTGAAGACTCATTCAAATATCAAAGAGTGGACACAAGGCAGAACATTATCTAAGAGAGCTTGGAACTGGTACTCCCAAATCTTCCTACTTCAAGGTGGGCTGCATCTTGGTATATTTGTTTCCTGAACAATGAGAGGGAGGATGCTAGTGGGAGCTCCTAAATATCACAGTGTGCAGGAGCTGATTGGTTAGAATATACATTAAGTGCTGAGTGCAGAGGAGCTTTTTTAGAAGTACATTGCTTTATAACTATATTTTAAATGTTTCATGGAATGCCTAAAGATAGCATTTCTTTTTAATCAGGATATTTATTTGTTGAAATAAATGAATAATTTATTTACTTGCTATCTTGGTTGTATGTCTCCTTTCTGTGGATCCTTGTCAGGATGTACTTCAAATGGATATTTTTAGAGAGCAATGTTGGTCTTGGGGAATAATTGAAGCATAGCAGTAGGTGAGTTATATGTCCCTGTAGTTGGCCTTTGGACCTTTTGAATGTCAGTTTTTATAGTAATTTCGTTACTTGAAAACATGCCGTGGTGATTAAGTGTTCATATCTTTTATCCCAGAAAATCAGTTGCCATCTTCGCCTTGATCAGTCAGGAATACTGCAAGCCTTACTATGTTGTGTTCAGTTGTCTCCATGCTATACATAAAACAAGTACAGGGTAATTTTTCCATCTGACTTTCCTTCAGTCTGGTTTTGTCGCTACTTTTGTTAATGCAGATCAGGTAGTACGACTCAAAGGAGTCTAAATGCACGCCTTTTAAGTATGTTTATGGGTATCTGTCTAATTATTTGTGTGTTTATTTTGACAGTGACTTGTGTGCACACGTGTTCATGTATTTATTTGCACGCCTGCATGTATTTGTCAAACTGCCTTCCAGAGTTTGCTTTTAAAATGTTGGACTTGTCTCTTAAACCTGTACAATCAGTTTGCTTTAAAAGACTGGGGGCAAATGCAGCTGAAGGAACAACCGCAATCCAAGAGTGTTTTAGTATTGAGTGGTCTAAATGAACACGTTGATAAAATAATGAAAACCAAGTATTTTAGTAAACAAAAATCACAGTGATACTTTTGAATAGTAATACCATTTACAGCATACTTAATTACAAAAGTATCTTATATGAAATAAATATTTGGGAAAATTTGAGAACTAAAACAGAAATAACACAAAAATAGTATAAGAAAACATCTTTCATTTCTATGTATTGGTATAAGTTAACTGCCATCAGCGATTATCTCAATTGATGTTTAACGAACTTCATCTCCAAGCAAATCAAATCACAATCTGAGATACTTAAAAATAAAGTTAATGGTTAAACTTCCTGCATCAGAGCATGAAAATGGTGTTCTGAATGCTTTAAGTACTCAGGCAGAAGTGTATGTGAAAAAGAAATCTACTTGTAATAAGATACAAGCGTTACCTAATTTTGCGCTGATAGAGGAGCGATGATCGTATAAACAATTTCACAGTATGACAATTGAAAGCTTGAAAGTTCCATGTGGCAGGATCGCTATAGATTAGACATTTTCCATAGGGATTTTGCAAGCTTTTCAAAAAACATAAAATTGCAGGAGATTTCTAAAAAATTCTAAGAAATGGATCTTGAAATAACCCTTCCCAGAAACTGTGGGCTATTATAATCCAAGTTCAAGCAATTTAATGAACAGGAGCCATTTTTTATTCAGTGTTGTAATGTGTTGCAATGACTTCATAACATTTGACAGCAATAAATTAAATAATGGGCATTTGAATATAAACTAGAGACTCCCTCGGTTTGTAAACAGTTTGTGATACACATGATTCTACAGAAAAAACATTTCTGAAATTCTAGATAATAGAGTTACTGATGTAATAATTTTCTAACTAAAAGATCAATTTTTCAGTATAAATAAAATTCCCCAAAAGACACAAGATGGTGGCCTCACTTGATTTTTTGCACCAGTTTCATACCCAGATATATTGTATTACACTGCAAATACATATAAAAACTGATAGAAATCTGATACAAAAGCTGATACAACACCACAATGCTAGCATAGTGTTATCAGGCTCATTATGTAAAGACTCATCGCTCTTTCCCCTGACTTTCAAAAGTCAGGTGTGTGCTTGAATACCTAACCTACATTGCAGAGATACTGCCATGGGGTATGCCAGCCATGAGTTGGTTTGTACCAAGCCACTATCCAAATATCTGACAAGAGCCGTAGCTGCATGTAGAATTTAGCACATGCAAATTATGCCCACTTTTGGAAGCAAGTCTAGAAGATTCACTTGAGTTTTTCTCAGTCCTGTGCTAGATACTGTTATATTTTAACATATGTTCTAATTCTACTCCCTCTTTTTGATGGAGATGCAGGGCAGAAATCTGGGTCAGTAAGTCTGGTCTTTTCCCAATATTAGCTAACCTTCATGTCATTCCTCTCTTGAATGACCCTGTTGAAGTCATCTCCCAGCATACATTGTTAGTATATTTTGTTAGCATTTTCCTGTATCTTTCTACTAGTTTCGTTAATGGAAACACTCAATCCCGTCCATCCCTGAGATATTCATTAAGGAATCTTCTTTGGATTGCTGATGCTCTTTTCAGCTTTCCCTGCTATAATTTACCTTTTTGGTTCCAATAAGGCTTAGTTATCTTCCTCTTAAATAAGATTTTCCTGCTAACCAGTGCTAGATGGATTTGCTTTATGACACTTCCTTTTACGTTAATATTATTTTCTACTTTGATTAGCTTTATATCTAAAATGGAACAATCAAGATAGAGGAAAATTATAAAGCACATCAACACATTATGAACTAGGTGTATTACAGTGATTAGATTAAGCATAAAAAGATATGTTGAACCAAACTTGAGACTTAAATGAAATAAAATATCTGTGGAACAGATCTATGACATACAAGAACATAATCCTAAAAACCCACCTGGCACATAGGATAAATGTAAAAATAAGAATTGTACAATGTCTTTTATGATTAGCTGGATTTTCTCCCAGAACTCAAGAATCATTATAATACTTTTTCCAACTGTTTATTTTTCCTTACAGTACTTGGGGTGTATAGAAGTCTTACGCTCAATGAGATCTCTTGACTTCAGTACTAGAACACAGATTGCAAGGTAAGACATTGTACATGTATGTTTTTTCAAGTAACTTCAAATTGTGTCCCCAAAGTGGAAAGACCATGAAGATGGCAAAACACAAAGTAAATAATTTTTGGATACTGTAAGTCCACTTTTTAATTTTTGCTTTTACAGGTAAATCTCTCACCTGGTATTAATATAGCTCCAACAGCTCTTAAAATGTATTTTCTTCATGGTCTTTTGATGTGCCAAGAACTGCTTTAGAAAATTTTTGCCTGTTTGTTATGCTAAATAAGGCACTTATTTGGGTACCAATTTCATGACGTTTAAGCCAGTGAGAGTTAGAATATTCTTAAAATCTACAACACATTTGTCAAAATTAGTCTAGGGAGCTGGTTTGGAGCTGCATGTAATAGGTTTTTATAGTAATTCCTTATGAAAAGATCTCAGATTACAAACTGGCTGTACAATGGATGTAATTGAAAATATATCACTACAGTGATATCGGAGACAAATGGAAGAATGTTGTGTTCTCTAGACTGTATGTAAGAAACAATAAGCTTGTATTAGGTTCTTGTTACAATTGTTTTAAACCTGTCATGGTATTTTTGTAAGAGCAGTACATAAGTATAGCACTGTCTTAAGAAGTGTCCATGAATTTATTTTTTTTTTTCTAGGAGACTATTTTCTGAGCACTATAGAAAATAAGTGTTTTTCAGGAATTTTCACTTGAAAAGCTGAGCTCATTGATTTTAGAGGACTGTAGCACTGACATCTTCTAGCAACTGGATACCATGTTTTCAAATTCTGGCATTAATATAATGAAGTAATCCTTTCCAAAGAAACACATATAAAAGTGATATCACTGGATACAGTGCTTGAATTTTACCTCTTTGAGGCATCTTACAGTAACCGATAGTCTATCATAAACCATTTGACATACCATAGACAGCTAAGTATTTCTTTTATTAAATGAGAAAAATTACTTATTTTTAGGCTTGCTTGATGATCATATGGTCTCTATGCATTGACTGAGTTAACACTTGCATACAGCAGCTTTGAATTGGACCCTGTAAGTCCTCAAAGTGTAAATCATTAATTTGTCAAGATACTGCTTTGATGAGGGGTATAAAAGCACAAGGACAGGTAAATCATAAAACTGGTTTTCAGGCAATGTAGACTATGGAGGCATTTGAGAATTTTACTACTGCAGTTTTTAAAATCATTTTGCACATTTCTGAGTATTTTCAGCAGTGAACTTTAAAATTATTTAATGTCTAAGCAGTCTTGTAGTTCCAATGCAGCTGGTGCCTGTGTTTATCACTTGGAAGTTAAATTATACTGGTTTATGAAACAGTTGTGGTAGTTACTGTTTTTGTATTCTATACCTGAAGGTGAACTGAATTCATCTTTATTTTTCTGCACGGTGTCTTTTACGATATGCCTTCATTGGATTAGTGTTGCACTTTTCCTATTATCTAGTTTCAACGCATAACTCTGCCACTAATACTTAAGCGCATTTGCTGATCTAAAGCATTATGGTCTGCAAAAGTATCTTTGTCTTATAGTTCTTGCAATACAAAAATGATTCTTGGTTTTTACTGTGAAACAGACTTGGAATTATACTTTTTTCTAGTGAAGTTATAGCGTACTTGACTACATAGTGAGCATTTTCTTGTCTCATCTTCCTCTGACCACATCTAGAGCACAGAATATTTTTTCAAACAGGAAGCTGTGTATCTTCTTATTTTACTTATTATTTTGCAATTGCAATTTTCAGTTTATCATAAAACAATGAAGACTCATCCTTCTGATCATGTAGTTCCTGATCTAAAACTTTTAGAAAGCATGAGTTTTTAGGTGATTTTTGAATCAGGATCTGTCATCTTAATCTGCATTTCATAAATTCATCTGCTCTAGAAATCTGCATGCATGTCTTGAGTTTTATGTACCCACATGTTTTGTCATGTAGCATTTCACACACAAGCCTTCTAGTAAGAAAATACTCTTAAGGAATTATTAAAATTCACATTTGCTGTTTAATTGCTCATGTGCATTAAGAAACATAACAGGCCTCAAGGTATGTGCTGAATTAATAAGGCTGATGTTCTGATATTATAGGCGCCGATTCCCTCTTAAGAAGACACCTGGCACCAAATGATCTGTTTAGCCCTTTGTTTTCAAATAAAAGCACCTGAAAGTTACATTTATGTCTACTATGTCATGCATTTATATTTAGGTATGTCCATTACTGATTTCTCTGCAGCCTGCCACCAGTAAGAAAACCATCCTTGTAACATGATGGCTTATGATGGAGTGTGACTGTGGATTGGGTCTGTAGATCTAGTAATGTTAGCTGTGACTGCTCCAGCTGGAAAACCTTGATCCATAGCCGCAATAGAAGCTTCTCTCTGTATGGGGCTGTGTAAATCTCTTTGTGCTATTTCCTATACCCAGAGAAACAGATCCTATACCCAGAGAAAGCAGCTCGAATCCCTTTCTGACATATATCTTGTTAAATTGATCCTACTGCATGCGTTACATGTGTTTAATCTGTTATTTTCTCCAAGGCTTTGCAAAACCAGTCACAGAAGAAAGTGATCTGTCTTGGGCCAGTATGACTTCTGGTATTATGCAGTATTTACTAAGTATGATTGAAAACAAGTTAGAAAAGATGAACCAAGTTATCTGACTAAGTGTGGAAATCTGGATGCATCCCTTTCTAATAAGCACACATTGTGCTTGACACGTACGCCTTTCTAGCACTGCATCACATTGCTGTCCATGCCTGCTCTCTTACCCTTGCTTTTCCTTCATGTTGCACAGCTCGGAAGGAGGTCAGCCATTAGGATCCTACATTTAACTTTTTTCTGTCTTTTGGTTGTTGCGTATGTCACTTTTTCTCTGCTGGCCTTGAGGAGGAACAAAATGCTGAAGTAAGATGAGCAGCACAAATTCCTAGAAGAAAAAGCTTCTGTGGCTCAGTCATGGGAGGGTGAGATGTGTAGTCTCTGGCTCTGCTACAAACTTTGGGTATTATTTTGGAGAAACCATTAGCACCAAAGACAACTCTCTGATTAAATGTATTAGTGCTTGTAAAGGGCACTTACATTGTTGGATGAACATTTAGAAATTACTTGTCTGGAAATCTTAGCCCAGTTTTTATCTAGTGTATTAGACACCCATTTTAAATAAGTTAATAGGAAAGCATATACATCAGTGTATATGCATGGACCAGTCTGACAAATGAACTGTGACTTCAACACCAGGAACTGGATCAAAGCCCCTGTATAAACACTTTGGTCAGCAGTCTTTTCTTCCTTGTCATAGTTGTGAAAAACCTACCTGTGCCATCTAACAGTGTTGTACCTGGCCTGTAACTTGGTTTTGTTTTGCTTTTTCACTTTTTATAAATTAAAATATTAAAACCTGCAGCAATACATTTATCTTCATGTGGAAGCAGTGACAAAGCACTTTCCCTTGTCGTACTCTTCACTGGATCTTAACAACCTTGGTGGTGCCAGACAAAAGGTGTTGTCCTAATTTTGGATCTGATTTGAGGAAAAATGAACAGCTATGTACAATTTATAACAGGTTTTTTCCTTTACACATTTGAAGTCTCAAGATTCTTCCACTACAGGAGAAATAGGAGAACTAGAGTAATATTAATCAGTTGTACTGTATTTATTGTTTTATTTAATGAATGTGATGTCATGTGAATTCTTGAGGAAAGAAATGAATGCATATGCCAAGGGTCAGCAGTTCTGCATAATGATAAATAAAAGCCAGCTGAATCCACATGTTGCATCAAATTACCCAGTGATAATTCTTGTAATACATGTGAAGTCAAGATGACTTTCCTGGGCAGCAAGATGAACAGAAGCATGTCATTTTCAACATAGTGGAGGAACAGGAAGACTGGCAGGCGAGACTACTGAGCTAACCACAGGTGGCAAGTGGTCCTAAGTTCATCTGAAACCTACCATCATCATCACAGAAAGGGGCCACTCATAAGCTTGTGTGGCCAGGCCCTTTGTTCTCTCAGGCTGTTTATTAAAAAAAAAAAAAAAAAAAAAAAAAAAAAGTGCAGTGTTTGCGGTTCATATAATATGTTTGTATGCTTATTGTTAAATCTGTTACAGTGTAATGAGTCTTCACTACTGTGTTGTATGCATGAGTGTAGCTATGCACTGGTTTGAAATAGAATAATGTTGCATGCACTGTTTGTCGTACAGCAGTCCCTGGACTACAAGGCTGCATGTTCATTGGTATGTAATTGGATGCAATCAGTTTATTGCATGCAGCTTCAGAAAGTCACACCTCCTTGTGCTGAGTAAAACATCATATTGCATGCTGGTTTAATAGCAGTTAGCAAAATAGATCAGGGGACTAAAATACTTTGTATCAGCAGTGGACCCAAATCCAAACTCTGATCCCAGTCCACTCCATGAACTCTGTTGGGCTGAACAATTTGAGAGATTCCTCTCCAAGTTTGGGGCCCGAACTTTATTAATTGTGAAAATCAAACCCATTTATGCCAATGTCCCAAACTTCTGGATGGATGGTAGAAATCCAGATTTTAGAGCTGGGTTTGAGTCCAGTGCTAAACAATATGAATGAAATTCAGTTGATGTAGTGTTTCTTTCAACCGTATCTGTATTCTTTGCAGAAATTCACTGTCAGCAAGCATCACTGAAAAAAGAATGGAAGACACTGAAAAGGAAGAATGTTTCCCCTGGGGTTTTTGAAGGTGGATAGGTAACGTGTTATCTGCAGTGAATTCTGTATTCAGTCTACTCCTTAACATGCTCTGTTGCATGGAAGGTGAGTGTGGTTCACCCCTCCTTTCTGCTAATTGGACTCTGGATGTGGGGTAGTGCTTAGAGAATGGTGCTTGGGGGGATGGCGTAACATGCATAGCCACACTGCAGTCTTGGATACACAGCTATATGCAAGAAGGGATGTGAAAGAAATTCTTCTTTGTATGTGCACAGTAGCTTCAGGGCCAAAGCTCTAAGAAGCACAGGGTGCTGACT